GTCATTTCTTGTAGACAAAGGAAATCTTTAAGGATGACATATAGATAACAAGATGACATATAGATACCAAGAGCCATCTTCAAGATTCATGGCAGCATGCAGCCAGGGCTGTATTCTAAGTTGTCAAAAAAGTGCCCTCAGTTACATGCTGAACTTTGCTAGGTCTGAGCTGTGCTAGAGTGGCTGCATTTATCTAAGAGGAAGTTCATATGATCCAAGCATAAAATCTGCCAGACTTGTGTGTTACAAAGTATGGTTGTGCCTTTCTTCAGTGTCTCCACAACCACCTGGAAATTTGTTGCGTTTGTTATTCTTATTGCACAATTGATTTGCCCTCCTTCATCATGGTGTTACAAAGTATGGTTGTGCCTCTCTTCAGTGTCTCCACAACCACCTGGAAATTTGTTGCATTTGTTATTCTTATTTGATTTGCCCTCCTTTGTCACAAGCCTGTATCTCCATGTCTTGACCTGTGAAAATGACTGTTCTCTGTCAGCTGTGCCTTATGGCTTCTCTTGCCTGTGGGCTGGATCCTTGCATCACTTGGAGCTGACCATTGTCAATTTCCATTTTTCCAAGATTATCATTTGCCATTACCTCTGAGGGGGGGGAAAAAATAAAACCACTAACAGCTGTCTATAATTATAATTCACTTGCAGCTGTTTTCTATATTTGCCAAATCTTCTTTGTCCCCATCCTCACAGCACTTTAGGATGTACTGACATTTGAAGTAGAGCTGTTAAGACCTTACTCAGCCTGGCCTGCATCTTGCATAAATTTCTGTTATTTTTCAAAAATGTTACTACTGTCCTAATTAGAGCATTAAATGTCACTGTGAATAATACTTCATGCCAGAAGGAAAAACCTTGAGTCTTTCCTTGCTTGTCACTCAGTTGGGAAGGACTTTTAGATAGTCTGAATGATGACCCAAACAGGGAACGCTGCCCATTCACTTTCTTCCTTGATTCCTCCTTGGTAGTCTGCCCTGCCAGAGCTGTAGAGCCATCAGGCTGAGGGAGCACAGACGTTTTGTATTTACAAACTCTTCTGCTTGTGCAGTGTGGACCAGCCAAAGTGCCCTTACAGCTCCATACACTGCAGACCAAAGTCACCCTGTTTCTCAGAGGGTTTGCCTTCAGCACATTCTCTGTGTGGCTGCAAGGAGGATGGCACTGAATAGGCACAGCAGAATCTATGCCGTGTCACTTCAAACAGGGGCACACAAATCTGTCTTTGGCCCACAAATCTGCCCATTCCTCAGTAGGGCTGCACTTCCAGACTGCTGGCTGGTGAGTGCCACAGTTGTCCTCCATTCCCCCACTTCTCATCCCAGCTGAGTTATTTGCACCCAGGTATTGTCACCCAGAAGCTGTGCCCATCATCCGTGGCTCTGCCTCCTGCGTGCTCCTCCTCTCCACTTCTCCATCAGCCTTTACCTGGAGGGCCTGTCTCTTCCCAAGGCAGGTCTGACACATTTGATTAGCCTGATGGCAGAGTCCCTTTACAGGTTTCTGAAAAGGCTCCTTCTGAATGATTTATATGGTTCCATGGTGAGCAAGAACCATGAAATGCGATGGATGCAAATCCCAGCCTTGCTTTACCCACCTGCCATTGTTCCTGTTCATGCTGCAAGCTTCCTTAAGAGCAGGCCCTTGGTCCCACAGTAGAACTACTGGAAATCTAAGTGCAGACTGGAAGTGTGAGATTGTTGAGAAAATTAGCCAAAAACAAAATTTAGATCTATGGCTAAATTAATCCCCAGATTAATGCTATCAAAGCAAATGGTGTTTATAGAAAGTCTTGTTTTCTTTATATTCATGTGAGAGAAAATCAAAAGAATGCTAGAGGCAAATTTCGTCTAGCAGAATTGGAAAAGAGAGCATGGGGACAAAGCTGTAATTACCGGTATTTCCTATCTGTTGAAACCTGTGGGTGCAAAGAGAGTCAGTGAATAGGGTATATTCAATGGCATTAAAATTAGTTTCTTTTTCTGGACTTTAGCTCAACACTGCAAATTAGCAGGGGGAAAATAAGCCTCAGAGTGAACAGGCAGGGAAGCCAACTTCATGTTACCCTTTGCTATTAGGGGAAAAAAAGGCATTTTTTTCCTTCAAGAATTCAAATTCCTAGCAACCCGAAGTACAGCTGCACACTGACAAGCAGGAAATGTACTGTGTTTCTCACGTGGTTCAGTGTTTGTGTGTCCGTGTCCACACCATTATCCTGTTTTCCCTTTAAACATATGACTTTAATGAAGAGAGGAGAAGCATGCTGTTTAATTAACTCTTGCTTTATAAAGACATTCTGGCCCAGATTCATCATGGTACAGCTTAGGGGTATCTGGCTCGGGGTATCTGCAGGGGTATCTGACTTTAGATCATTCTGTATCCAGTCAGTGGAAGGGTTGAGACCCTCCCAGCCATGGTTTGGACCACCAGAGATCAGAACTGACATTGCTAGGCACCATCTCTTTCTGCAAACCATTGCAGGTACTTAGAATAGCTGTACTCCTAAGTCAGCCTTTCACAGAACTAGGAAGGATGATTGGAGGCTTCAACATATTTCTACTTATGACTGTCATCCCACATGCAAATTTCTTCTGTAAGTGATAGCTGTTACTGAATTAGCTTTACTTTTTATTTTGCTGCTGAAATAGCTGTTACTGAATGGGCATTACTGAATGCCTACAGAAAAAAAAAAACAAGTAAACAATGTTTTTCTTACAGTTAAAAAAAATGTACCTTGCAGTTGTGATCACTGCATAGACCTGAATTATTCCAAATAAGTCCTATGTCATAAAATGTTTACTTAGTTCCTATTTTTTTTCACAACAGTTAATAAATTGAATAGCTTGAGACTGCATTTTCTTTAAAGTTTTAAAAGTATAACTGAGAATTACAGAGATGTAGCTATAATTAGAAGTGGCATATTATTAATAGTAGTAATAATAATAATATTGATGTTGGGTACGGTAGGATTGATTGATTGCTCAGTACACACAAAAAAATCCAACTTGAAGCACCAATGCCTGAGTATTTGTAGGTACCATTCTCCAAACCTACCTGAAATATTGCAATTGTAGTAGGAAAATCTACTTTGAATAAAAGAATTGGTTTTAGTATTATGTTTTCAATGGCTTTAATGCAGCCTGTTTTTACGTGCAAGAATCTGTGTTAGATTGCTGTTTAGGGTGGATTTTTGTCTTAATCGTTCCAGAACATGATTTAGTATTTAATTAATACTGCTTCAGTTTAGTTAGATATCCACTGGAGCTACACATTTCCTAAATATTTTTGTAAATGGGTTATATTTTCACTTTACTTGCTGGAGTTATCTACTTAATAATTATCAAGCCTCAAATGAAACCAGAAAAAGGTTTGTTCTCCTGTACGTTTCTCTCATGCACAGACACACGTGCTGCTGTGGACTGTACCTTGCTCTTGGTTAGCCTTGCTCACTGTCAAACCCAAGGCCAGCCTGTGATTCCATAATGACTGCAGCAGGACATTAAAAGGGTGTGCAGTGCTTCTCAGAGCCTCCCTATGCACTGCTGGGGCTCAGTGCTGAGTTCTTCAGGGAAGGGATTGCACCTTTGTACTTGGATTTTTGGGGTTGTTGTTTGGGGTTTTTTTAATGTTTCAAACTCCAGTTACAATTGCGAAGATATATATATATATTTTGTTTTGGTTTGGTTCGTTTTTTGGTCTGTTAAACTTCAGCATGTGCAGTGCTTCTCAGAGCCTCCCTATGCACTGCTGGGGCTCAGTGCTGAGTTCTTCAGGGAAGGGATTGCACCTTTGTACTTGGATTTTTGGGGTTGTTGTTTGGGGTTTTTTTAATGTTTCAAACTACTGTTACAATTGCAAAGATTTTTGTTTGTTTGTTTTTGTTTTGGTTTGGTTGGTTTTTTTTGGTCTGTTGAACTTAATGCAGTGTTTTATCTTCCAAATCCTACTTCAGAGACACGTGGGGATTAAAGTATCTAAGGGAACAAGTCAGGTTTGACAGTATTTAAAGCATATGTCTGTTAAACTTCAGCATGTCTTAATGCAGTGTTTTATCTTCCAAATCCTACTTCAGAGACACGTGGGGATTAAAGTATCTAAGGGAACAAGTCAGGTTTAACAGTATTTAAAGTATATTAAAGTCTTCTGTTTAAGATTTAACTATGATTCATAGTTAATTGTTTTAAACTTGTCACTATGGTACCAGCAAAAACTCCTTAGGAATACAAAGTGACTTTTGAAACCTATCCTGACTCTCAGATTGCCACCACTGAGGCACACAGAGTAGTTCTGCATCCATTTGGGGAAATTCCCCAAATGTGGTGCTCAGGTGGACTTCACCTTGGCTCCAGAGGAGATTTGGGCAATATTATTGTGCCACCCACTTGGTTATTCCAGCTTTCACCCCAGTCCCTGGCTCTCAGCACAGGCCCAGCCTATCTTTAGCACTGGAGACCTAGTGGAGAAGTGCAGCAGCAGCACAACCTCAGCAAACCCCCAAGTCAAGAAAAATTCCCTCCACCCCCACAAACACCCATTGCTGTTTGCTGACAAAGGAAACTTCTGCCTTTGCCCTCTGTCTGCAGGCAGTTTCCTGCTGGCCCTGTGGCACAGGTCTGGATGGATGCTGGATGGTGATGCTGGAGGTGGGGAACGGAGCTGCCCCAGGTGTGGGGTCTGCCAGCCCCTGTCTGGCACACACGGCCTCCCTGCTCTTGGGCTCAGTGTTTGCCAGCTAGAGAGGCTCAAACAGGCCAGCTGCACCCTGGGCTTCTCTTTTCTCTCTCTTTTTGCCTCCTCTTTGGAAAAGCTTGTAGCCCTTCACATTTCTGTAAATGTGCTTGCCCTGTCTCGATGAATTTGCCTCCTAAAGCTTGTTCAGGATTCCTGAGGGAGATGATGTTTCCTGGCAAACAGATGTGTTTGTAAAGAACGAGACAGGCCAGCTACAATTTCCAAAGGTGTCTCAGGAAGTTCATATTCTCTCTTTTCCAGGGAGCGTTTACTTTCCGCGGGAGCATGATCGACATGCCATTACTGAAGCAGGCACAGAACATTGTTACACTTGCCACAGCCATCAAGAAAAAATGAGCTGGTAAATGAAGCTCTCGCCATGGGGCCCCAGTAGCTGTTTTTTTAAAAGATGACTATAATACTTTGGGGGGGGAAGGGGGGTGTAAAATTAAAGACGTCAGGCTTAAACAGAAATTCATTTCCATTTTGCAGATCTGTCATAGTTTGCTTGCTGGAATTGCTAATTACTAAAACTATTCCCAACTCAAACCACTGCTCACTCCTGCATGGCCCATGCTCTGCTCATAGCCTGCAATGAAGTTACATCATCAAATCTGTGACATCACAGTAATTACTGCAAATGTGGGAGTACGACTTCTCTGAAGGAGAAGGGCAAAACATGAGCCCTGAGCTCTGTTAAAAGAGCAGATGGAAATTAATTCGATTGTTTCTATTTCTTTCTGTGCTTCTTCCTGCTCTGATGCTGAACTCCTGGCAGAAAGGAGAAAGCCTTGAATAATTACGCACCAGTTGAAATAACTGCAATGAAAATCTTTACCCTGTGTGAGCTTTGCTTTCCCCCCACACCGCCCTTCTGTAAATGTGCAACAGCCATTAAAAATAATGCTCCAACAATGCAGGACTCTTGACTTTCTTCTCTTTTTTTTTAAAGCAGTCTCTATTCAGAGAGTTTCCTCCTGGAAGCGTCCAGCCCGGGAAGGGTTGGACGGCAATAAACTTGTAGTTTTTGGAGACACAATGCAGCAGAACTTGTGCATATGGTCTCAAGTCAGATTTACATCACATTAGGGATACGGCTACAGATCATGTGGGCTGTGTGGTTAACGGGCTTAGTAAAGCTGTTTTGAAGAGGTTAACCCAGCTTGTAGTAAGGGTAAATAAACATAACAACCAGGCATTGTCCTCTATTCAGCATGTACTCTTATATGGAGGGCTAAAGGGTATTGAAGCTGCAGAGGATCAACTTGTGGTTGCCAGAGGACTCCAATGAAGTTTGAAACACCAACAATCAGAGATTTTGTTTCTGTTCCTCATTAAATCATGAGCTTTTGTGCTCAGACTATGAACGACTGTTCTTTAAGAAATTAACAGAATGGGAAGTTTTAAACTATGCACCAACCTTTTCATGACCTACACAGCAGCAATGCTGCTGCACTTAGACAAACACCGCGGGGAAGGCTGTTCTGTTTATTTAAAATTGTAAATAGAAAACAGTTGTTTTCTAGTTTCATTTCTCACCGCCTCCATGGCCATTTCACGTATGGAGCCACAGTGCCTTATTCCTCCCGTTTCCTAGCTTAGCGTGTTTCCCCTCCGTCTCCGAGCAGCGATTTCACTTATTTGGGGTTATTTTTGGTTTAATTAAGAGGAGAGGAAAGGGGGGGAGGCAGCACCGCACCACCCGGCCCGCGGGGAAGCAGCGGGGCCCGGGAGCGGGGGCGGCGGGAGCGCCTCTCCGCGGCTCCCGGGACGGCGGGGCCGGGATCGGGAGAGCCGCTCAGCTCCGTCCCTGCCGGCAGAGCCCCCGCAGCCCCTCCGCGGAGTTCGGGGATGAGCAGCCAGGGCCGACCCCCCTCGCTCCCCCTCCGCCAGCCGGGTCCCGTCCGAGCGCTGCGCCGGGGCATCCCTGACAGCGCGGGGACCTCCGGGCTAATCTGATTAATTAAAGACTACCTGCTTATATTGCAGCTCCCCCTCACCCCCGCGCCTTTCAGGACACCCTCCGTTATTAATTCCAGGCTGACTAAATTATGGGCAGCACTATTAAAACATTATCAGAACTAATGAGAAACAATTACTTAGGAGATGAGCTGGGACGAGCCGTAGCCGGGCACGCGTGTCGCTGTCCCCGCAGATTGCGTTAATAAATCATCAGGTGCACGGCGAGGCGGCGGCGAGGCCTGGCGCGGGGCACGGAGAATAAGATATATGAGATAAGGGCTCTTTGGGGTTGGTTGTGAGTTGGGCTTTTTTCCTTTTTTTTTTTTTTTTTTTGGCATAATTTTTACATTAATCTCAATAGGACGCGTGTGGTGTAGATGGTTTTATTCCCTTAATACCGCGCAGGAAGAGGGAGCGGGGGCAGGGAGGACGATTTCAAAAACTAATGTCTTCATTGTTTTACTGAAGTCTTGGTGGCCAGGCGGGAGCTGCGCGGGGCCGCGCCCGCAGCCGCAGCCGCAGCTCGCCCGCTCGGCGCCTCCTCTCCCCGGCAGGCAGAAGGGACGGGGATACACCCTGCGCTCTCCTGAGGTGCTTACGCGCCCCCTCCCTCCTCCGCAGCTGACTGCTGCAGGAACTTGGTGACCCGTACGCGGAGAAATCGAATATGCAAATAAACTGCTGGATGTATTCCGAGTTTTCCTTAAATTTCCCTGACACCCAGCCCTCCAGCGGAAAATCCCGCTTCTTTTTAACAGCCTTAACGATTTTTGCTTTATCAAAAATAAAATCCGATTTATTTGCCTTTTCCCTTTACTTTCCGAAGCTTTCCGTGATTTTTCCGGCTTTATTCTTCTCCTCTTTCTTTCTTTCTCTTTCTCTCTTTTTCTTTCCCGCCTGGTGCTAGGCAAGCAATTGATGAAACAAAACAGATTATAAGATTAGCAGCAGGATTTTGTGCATATTAATGATAGGGAAGGGCACCGAATGGGTTTGTAATTGCAGATCTTGCGCTTGGGATTGGGAACTGTAGCCCTGCTACAGCAAAGACCCCCCTGTGAGGTTTTCACATTGGAACTTAGGGGAAAAGTGAAAAAGTAATTACCAGAGCACAACACTGAAATGTTAAAGCACTTATTCTTTCTTTCAGCGTTCTGTTTTAAAGGGGGAAAACGGGCAAAATGGAAAATAAATTGCTTTCAAATAAGTAGGTTAGCACCTGAATGCTGGTGCGCATTTTCCCGGCTTTTTTTTCCCCTTCTTTTTTTTTTTTTTTTTTTTTTTTTTTTTTTTTTTTTTTCCGAATTCTAGCAATTATTTAGCCGGGCATTGCCGACCATCCAAGCAGCAGAAAAGGGGGAAGGGAGGGCAGGGAGTACTCGGGAACACAGGGGTACTGCTCCTGTGAGATTTGAAGCAAATATCTCCAGGAAAACTGTTCAAAGCTGCGCTTGGAAATTTAGTGGGATTTTTCTGGGGTATTGGTTTTTCGGGGTTTTTTCCTTTTGTTTGGTTTTGGGGTTTTTTGGGGGTTTTGTTTAAATCGGGACTTTAAAGGAAAAAAGATTGTTTTGGTTTTCTCTTCGACGCGAACATCAAACGGTATTTTAGCAAGGGATGCATTTCACAAGCACAAATCCCTTGCAGGAACGGAGTATTCCTCGCAATATCGACAAGTAACCTGACACTGAATTTTAACTCTTATTAAGGGTTTCTCCTTGTTTCTTAAGCTGCTTCAGCCCACTCTGACCTTACTTTTCCTAAACTCCGGCTTTTTGCGTTTCAAACCCAGTGCTTCTTCACTGACTTTTCTGATCCTTCTCTCCCGTGATTAACAGCCAGAGATGGTTTAGCTTTAATGGCACCTACTCGAGCTTATTGTTTTAATTCTGTTTTCAACGGAAAATCAATGTATCTGGTGGAAATTAGGCTTTGAAAACTTTTTTTTTTTTTTTACTTTTTTTTTTACGAGCCAATAAAAAGGAGTATCTGCTCCTCGGGCAGTAATTCCTGATTTTGAATGGGGTGGGGGGGGATCGAGGGGAAACCAACTTTGCATTTCATCCCTCCCATCCCTCCAGCCCTCTTCTCCCACTTTCACCTCCCTGGGGTTCAGAGCGTGGCAGAGCCCCGAGGCAGGGCTAGTTTATAACAGCTGTTATAAAGATTAAAAAGTGGGAAGGAGGGAATGAAAGCTCGTGCGGGCAAGTCCCTGATCTTCCCTTTTCCCCCTTTGCTGCGGCTGGGGAGCGCGCACTCCCGGAGGGGAGCCCCGGGAGCCGCGCCCGGCGGGGCGGGGGGAGCGCCGCGGGTGCCTTTGGGGCGCTGGCACTTGCGCGAGGTGTCCCGCAGGCGGGAGGGGTGTCCTGGCCACCCGGAGCTGAGAGGAGGCAGCAGGAAACTCCCGGAGCACTCCGCACTGCCGCGGGACCGCCGGGCTGCGGCCGCGGGACCGAGCGTGGGACGGACGGACGGACGGACGGACGGACGGGGGGATGGATGGATGGATGGATGGCAGCAGGGACCGGAACTGTCCCATGACTTCCTGGGCTGCTGCCAGGAGCCCTGGACGCAGAGGAGGAAGGGAAGGGGACGGAAGGCAGAAGGAGGAAGAGGTGATTTAATCACATTCATTAGTCTGCCACAAAAACGGTCTCCTCCAGCCGCCCTCAGGCCCACAGCATCCCTTCAGTCGGGAGCAGGGTGCCCGTGGAAAGGCCACCTCCAGAGTGGTACTCACTCACTCACACACAGACGCACGCACGCACTCACTCACTCACTCACTCACTCACACACTCACTCACTCACTCACTCACTCACTCACTCACTCACTCACACACAGACACACACACGCACTCACTCACTCACTCACTCACTCACTCACTCACCACTCATTCACTCACTCACTCACTCCAGCGTGGCACCAATGGTGCCTGCAAGGGACAGCACAGAAATTCATGCTCTCCATTTCCATCACACCTCCCTTCCTCCTCACTATCCCCACTTGGATCCCTCGTGATGCTCCTCAAACCCACCTTTTCCTCCCAGCACTGGGTGTCCCTCAGTGGGAACAGAATGGGGGCTTTCCTGCTCACACTGGGGTGCAGGGAATGGGATGCACAGTGGAAATGTCCTGCATATGCCCACACTTCAAACAGGGGAGAGATCAGACAGCCTCACTGTGTTTAGGGTTATTGCTTCCCCAATTAATTCTGAAGCTCCCAAAATGTGATATCAAAGCCAGTGCCATAAGGTGATGCTCAGAATGATGTCTTCAGAAGTGCAAGAGGCCCTGTTTCTAAAGCTGTTGTAGGTGCCCACTGCCTGCTGGCAGCATTTGAAACTGATCATCCTGATGAGAATGAGGAGTAATAAATGCCTATGCTACTTTCTTGGGCCTCTTTAATTTAAAGTGTGATTCCATGTAGCTTTGGACCATGTATTTAGAATTTTGTTCCTACTTCTTCTAGTGCTGCTAATGTTATTAAAGCTGCGCTATCAAGCACAAACACCAGTTAAGAATTTTCTGAGCTGATGCTTGCTGAAGATAAAAGCCTTTTGTCTGTGTGATACATGCCTGCAGTAACCTAGAATTTCTGGCAGATGTTCATGCTGCTGGGAAGACCTAACCTAGACTTCCAGATAACTGACTTCCTTCCTGGCCTGCTTTTGCAGTGGTCCCTAATATATTAAATAGTGTTTGTGCTTGTCTGTTGCTCTATGGGATGCCACTGGAAGTGCTTTATGTTAACTCTGCATGTCCTGCTCTTCCTTAAAATGTAGCTTAGATGCAGTCAGTAGTGCATGTATCTCTGCAAATCTGACCATCAGTGACGACCCTGCCTCCAGATTTGTCACCAAGAGGTCTCTGCTTGTACAATACAGAACTAAATACTTGCAAAATGAGAGGGAAACCGGTGGCAGTGGATGTGAAAGAGCTGTCTGGTTACATCACTGGTA